AAAAGTCTTAATTTCATTAAGTGATACGATACTCATGAAACATTTAAATAGTTTATAAAATAGAAAGCTTTTGTCTTTTAGTTTCTGGGAAACAATTTTACAAGAGCTTAAAGTTGGTTTCTTATTCTTTGCTTCTTTTCCCTTGGGAATTATGTGACCTTCACAGGGTCACATACCAACGGTATCTGTCCAGAAGTTTATAAGGAATAGCTTCCTTCAGGTATTTGAGCGCTATATTGTGCCAACCATTAATTTGAAATTGAGAGAATTAAGAAAGGGAACGCTAATTACAAAGACTTAAAGTGAAGTGTTTTTTAGAGTTAACTTTTCAAATTCAGTGAAAACTATCTTGGCAATTATATTTAGGCACATAATTTCAGAGTTTCAAGAAAAGCTTATTTGCATAATCATGATGCTGTAACTGGAAACAGACACGTTGAGTAACAGAACAAGTTATGCCTGCTTCTCCCTGGCACCATTTTCAAAGGGACATTAAACTTGAAGGTATCGACTGAAAAAGCCTGGAGGAGCTAGAAAGAAGACTCATCTCCTAAACCTGACTTTTAACCTTGCTCTCTTAGTCAAGTCTTTTATTTTTCCATTTCCTCTCACTTTGCAAGATCCACTAAAGTTTGCCACTAGTAGCTGAATTTATAGTTTGAAACTAGTACTATTTTTTTTTAAGATTTTTATTTATTTATTCATGAGAGAGAGAGAGAGAAGCAGAGGGAGAAGCAGGCTCCCAAGGAGCAGGGAGCCCGATGCGGGACTCGATCCCAGGACCCTGGGATCATGACCTGAGCCGAAGGCAGACGCTCAACCATCTGAGCCACCCAGGCGCCCTGAACCTAATACTATTAATAATATTTGGTATCAGTTTAGGAATTTCCAGAAACCTTACAGAAATTAGTGGGTTAATATTTGCTGTTTGTAACAAGGTATGATTACCATTTGTTTTTATCGAAAGAGTTGACAGTTCAGATCAAAAACCTCTAGAAACACAATGTGAAGAACCAGAGGTGAAATTGGCGACTGGCCACACATTCAGAAGTCAAATGTCACTTTCATTCTTTGACTTGAAATGTCATTTCTTGGGGCATGGGGAAAGCCCATCGAGTCTTCTTGCAGAGAGTCATCTTGGAAAAACGAGGCCCTGGCATGTCTTAAATCCCATGAGTTGGAGAAAGACATCAAGTTCACTTCCCCTCAACTTGGTGGCACAGCGTGTAACTTGCTCAGCCACAGGACAGCTGGTTTTTCCTGATTTCATGCACATCTTCATAGACCTTCAGGGGAATTCCACAATCAGGTACAAAAATCGGTTGCAGTTTTAAGATTCTACTCACCATAGACTTGCTACTTTTATCCCACTCCAACTTTTTTCCACTTGACTGCTTTCTTGGGTCCTTAGTGAGAAGTCTGAATGCTAAACAAATGGAGAATTTTAAACTAGAAACTAATGGAAGCTATTTTAAAGGAAAAAAATCCCGAGAGGTTCATTATGAATAGTACTTCAGCAGTAGACAACCCATCGGTTAGTTGTAGTTCAGGCAAGCCGCTTTGCCACATCAGAAGTGCGTCGAGGATTGTGTTCCTTCGCACAGTAAGTAAAAATCCTCCAGAAAACAAGAGGAAAGGAAGAGGAACAATATTGGTGCCCTTAAGTGCTAAGCATTTTACACATATTCTTTAATCTTCAAAGTGCAACTACAAATCTTTGAGGTAGGTAGCATTATTTCCATTTTTTCAGAGCTCTCCAGCTTTCTGTGCTATCACCAAAGCCAGTGTGCACCCCTCCAGCTTCCTCTTTCAGCCTCAGAACAACCCACGAGGTCCCTGTTTGACCAATAAGGAGACAGAAGCTCAGTTTAAGTTAACTTGCAAAGGTCACACACACATCTAATAAGTAGTGGGATGCTAAAATACCGATTTAACAATTACCAAACCTATCTCCTGTGAAAAAGATAAGGTAGATAGAGATATCTATACATTAGAGATCCTGAATGAGATGTTTATTACTTGCTAGCAGCATTAGAATTGTCAAAAAGCCCTGGTAGAATTCTTGGCCTCTAACTACATAGTGACCTGTATAGGGTCTCTAATAATGTCCACGTGATCAGACTTTTTGGTGAAAATTTATATAGTCAGGGCGCTTGGGTGGCTCAGTTGGTTAAGCGACTGCCTTCAGCTCAGGTCATGATCTCAGGGTCCTGGGATCGGGCCCCGCATCGGGCTCCCTGCTCGGCGGGAAGCCTGCTTCTCCCTCTGACCCTCCCCCTGCTTGTGTTCCCTCTCTCGCTGTCTCTCTCTCTCTGTCAATTAAATAAATAAATAAAATCTAAAAAAAAAAAAATTTATATAGTCACCCACCGAGATCAGAACTTTGTAAATCAGTGTTCTTCAAATGTTCCTGAGAGGCGAATCAGGTGTGCTTAACCTCGATTGACCCTCTATGTAATTCAAACACTTGTGTAGAGAGGGCTTAGAATACCCCCTGTGATAATTGATTCCTAAGTAGGTCACAGTAATTTGTTAATAGTGAGAATTCTTTATCTTAGAATTATTCCCTCACCATAAGAGAAACGGAAGTAGATTTAGTTCTTCCTAGAAAATAATGTGTTGTATTTTATCTTTTTTTTCCCCCTGCTGGCTTCTCTTTATCCTGTGTTTGTTTCCATTGCCTTGAGATCAGTGGTGCCTTTTTCCTTTTTTTTGAGGACTCTGACTTTTTCAAACCCTTTCCAGATACCACCCAAACTTAATGAAGTTAAAGATATTTGCAGTGTGGTCTAGTTAACCTGGTTCCATATAGTTCTGCTATTGTGGCTTCTAATGGGTTCCTATAACTATTTCCTGCTTACTCACCTTAAAAGGTTTCACTGTCATGTGGTCTTTTTTTCTTCTGCTGTCCCTTCCTCCTCTTTCCCTTCTTTAGAACGGGTTGTTTTTCCTCCTGATTAGCATATTTTCACAAGTGGTCACTCTGTTTTTGAGAAGTCTCCAAGAATTCAGTCAAGATTAGATCATTGTATTTGACTGAAAAAATATTTAAGCGTTGGCAGGAAGGAAAATTGAGTTGATTACTGAGCAAGGTCTTGTAAGCTAACCTGCATTTCACTTACCATTTCCAAATAGCAGACTAAATTGTGATGCATTGTTTGAAATTCTGAGCCCTCCAACTCACTCTGGCTATTAATCTGCTTTGGGAGTAAGTGGCTGGCCGTCCTGATTGTTATATATCCAGCAGGCTCTGGACTAAAAGAGTTCTCAGATCCGGTAACAGTGAGAGCAAAATATTTAAACACACACACTAAAAACAAATGAGTAGGGGGAACTTGTAACTGAAAAAAGACAGACCAAAACAGTCTTGACGGTTTAAATTTATTGTTAACTGTGTCCAACAAAGGAAGTAGACTTGTAGGTTTATCTGCAAGGGTTTTCAGCTGCACCCTTTCATGGAGAATGATAAACTTGTGGAGGCTGGTGGTGGTGGGGTGGTAGGTATTGGAGAGATGCATCATTGTGCAATATTTCTAAAATGGGGCCCATTTTAGTTCAGTTACTCAGAAAAGCCAGTAGTAGTAAATAAGAGAGAAAGAAAAGTTGGGGAGAAAGGACCCAATGATTCAGAAGAAAGTTGGAACTCCACAAAAGTTCAACATATCTTCTTGGAAATACTTGTGTAGACCTTTGGAACACAGAGAAAGAAAGGGGGAGTATCTACTTAAAAATCAATTCTTGGGGGGGCGCCTGGGTGGCTCAGTTGGTTACACCTCTGCCTTCAGCTCAGGTTATGGTCCTGGGGTGCTGGGATCGAGCCCCATATCGGGCTCCCTGCTCGTGCAGGAAGCCTGCTTCTCCCTCTGCCTGCCGCTCCCCCTGCTTGTGCTCTTTCCCTCTCTCTCTCTCTCTCTCTCTCTCTCTCGCGCGCGCGCGCGCTCTCTCTCTCTGTGTGTCAAATAAATAAATAGAATCTTTAAAAAAAAATCAGTTCTTGGGGTGCCTGGCTGGGGCAGAGCTTGTGACTCTTGATCTCAGGATTGTAAGTTCGAGCCCCACCTTGGGTGTAGAGATTACTTAAAAATAAAATCTTAAAAAAAAAAAAAAAAAGTCTGCTCTCAGTTTCCCAACCATGGGCCGAGTAACAGGTGCTCATCTCCTGATCCTCACCAGCACAGGGTAAGATGGATAGTTCTCACCTCCATGTGGCAGGCCAGGGGCTCTGAGCTTCTAGAGAGGTGGAGTCACTGTCTGAGGCCACCCACCTAGTACATGCGGGAGGCTGGATTGGAATCCAACTCGTTATCTGTGGACCCAGCGTTTTTGCCGCTAAGCGGCAACGGGATTTCACGTCTGAGCGTTTCATGGCCGAACAAGTTGAGAACCACTGGTTTCAGAGACTGAAAATCACAGGTTGTATGCCCCTGGATTCCTTCCCCAGCCGCTCAGAGCTGCTTGGTCGCTCTTGGCTCGACGTTCCCATCTGTATCCTCACCGAACCAGGCCCCACTCCCATCGCGCAAGTCTGCAGGGCACCTCGGGCCTCCGCGGCTGCTAGGCGGTAGGGAAAGAGCATCCCGAGCGAACTCCGGTCGGCTCGAATGGCTGCCAAGGAAAAGTATTGTCCTTAAGTCCAAACTGATGCTTGGAGAGGTGGAGCAAACTCAGGCCTCGGTAGAGCACTGGTAATAACAGGGGCCGGCTTCGTTCAAAGGCGAGAGGTTGTTCTAAGAGCAGAGAGTGTGGTCGCTAATAATAAAGAAGTCGGTGGGGAGAGTTCTCCCGGTTCCCGGTCCCGGCCGCCCTCCCGCCTCCCTCTGCGTCCTTCAGGGCCCCCGGGCGGCGCGGGCCAGCCGGAGGGCGTCCAGGAGGAGGGTGGGCCGGGGGCGGGGGCGGGGGCGGGGCGCGCGCGTGCGCGAGCTGTCAGGCCAGCCCCGCCCCCGGCGCGGCCCCGCCCCCTCCCTCGCTTCCCCCTCCTCTCGCTCTCCGGGTGTGGGGCGGGCTGGCGGGCGCTGCGGCGACCGCGGCGGCTGCTTCCTCGGGCCATTTTGCTGAGGAGCGACGGGGAGGAGGAACTGCTGAGGAGACCCAAGGCGAGGAGCGGCGAGCCGGAGGAGGCGGCGGCCGCGCGCGCACCGGGCTTTCCTCGATTGCGGGGATCTCAAGGGGCGAAGGGATCGCCGGGGAGGAGGACCGGAGAGCCGCGCCTGTCGCGCGGCGCGCCCCTTCCCGCCCCCTGCACCATGAGCTGGGGCACCGAGCTCTGGGTGAGTGAGGGGCCGGGCCTGCCGGGCCGGGGGAGTGGGGGGGAAGGTGCCTGGCGCGCCTGGGCAGGGGGCGCCGGCCGGGCTGCCTCGGTGGAGGCGATGGCGCGCTGGTAGGGGTCCCCGCGGCCTGCGGAGGAGACGCGGGGCTGGGTGCCCCTCGTCGGCCTCGGCCGGAGCAAGAGGTGCAAGCCAGATTCGCCCTTTCGAGACGAGGGGAGCTGGTGTGGGAAGGAGGAGGGGGACGGATCCGGTCCCCCCGGCGGCCTGAGGAGGGGGCGCAGATCTGGGGCTCCTCGGCGGCCTGAGCTGGGGGCGCGGATCTGCGTCCCCCCCGGCGGCCTGAGCAGGGGGTGCCGATCTGAGTCCCCCCCCACCGGCAGTCTGAGCAGGGGGTGCCGATCTGGGTTCCCCGGCGGCCCGGGTATGGGGCACGGACCCGTGTCCCCCCACGCCGGTGCTTGGGTGGGGGTCCGGGCTCCCCCCCACGGCGGTCTGGGCAGGAGGTGCGGATCTGAGTCCCGCTGCGGACTGAGGAGGGGGCGCGGATCTGGGTCCCCCGGGCGGCCTGGGCAGGGGGCACGGGCCGGCCTCCCTCTCCCCGGCGCCCCGAGACCAGTGTGGTGTGTGGAAAGAGCAACCTTAATCCCTCGGGGCGAGTAACCGACGCGCGGCTGACCAGCTTCGAGGGGGGCGTGGAGGCCCTCAGATTTTCCGGGCTGCGTTATTTGTTCGGGCGCCCCAGCCGCGAGTGCCTAGGGCTGTTCTTTCGGTGGAGGTGCGGACCGATCTGGCGCTCCTCTCGGGGGCGGGGCGGCCTCGGCCGGGCCGGGTCTCAGGTTTTGGGTTTTGGGGTACAGGGGCGAGAAGTGGTGTCTTGCCTCTAGAGGCGAGGACTTTTGACCTGTGGCGGCGCGAGGCGCACTTTTAGTTCTAAAGGAGCAGCTCAGATCCTGGATTTGCGGTGGAGACTGCGGCGTTTGGCCTGGAAGGGAAAGTAATCCGAGTTAGAGGGAGATCTTGTGTGACCACGTTCAGAAGGAGGCATTCGCGGGAGAAATAATTCTTTAACTGCTCAGAGGAAACAGCTTTAAATGGGGAAGGTTGGCGGCGAGGGGAGCCGTCTGAGATCCTCCACCTAGGGCTGCGGATGGGTAAACAGGCAGCGCTGTGTCTGAAACCTCTTGCTGGAAGCTCTCTCCCCGGAGCCGGGCGACCAGGGGATGCCGAGGCAGTGCACAAGCCATCCCTGGGGAGGAGAGGCTGTGGCTGGTGGCATGGGGCTTGTTTCTCTGCCTTTCGCTGGATTCCCCGGGAAATCACTGGGCAAGGGATAGGCAGTGCAGTGCCGGGGGCGGGGGGGGGGGGGGGGGGGGGGAGGAGTGGATGAAATCTCAAATCATTGCACTGAAATGTTCTCAAGATGAGCCATTTCCCATGATGAACTCGGGAAGTGCCTCCTTTCGGAATTCCATTTGTAAAGGGTGTGGAGGAGAAAGTGTGGGGTGGTGGTTGCTGTCTGAGCTGAGGCCAAGAAATCTCACGTCAAAATAAAACAAGGTTAGAGAAGCGATAGAAACAGCGCATCCTCCCTTAATCTTTTTTTTTTTTTTTTGGCTTTAATTGTTTTTACATAACCGTTTCTTAGGCTCAGAAACAGCTACTGTCTTTGACACCAAAATCCTGAAGGCAAATAGCTCCCTTAAATTACAGTGATTGATTTTATAAACATCCTCTGTCTAAAGGGACTCAAGATTTCAGCTGAGGTTTACAAACACAGATTTTAAAATAACTGAGGGTTTTAAATATTTGTACCTACCTCCTTAAGCAAAATCTATCATTTTAAATGCAGTGTGTTTTTCCTCTTCCATTCGTTGGCTCTTTTTTAGCTTATCTGGGGTGGGCGAACAAATCAGAAGTAAATTTTGTCAAGATAAGAGAAATCCTGGCACAATTTCTTTTTGCTTGTTCAAACAAGAGAAAGGGATTGTGGAGGAAAAAATACAATATTTTTTAAGCGCAATAGGCGGGGTCCAAGGAACTGAACACAAGGTGGACATTTCAGTGATGTTAGTGAATGGCATAAGAGGTGATCAGGAAAGAGAAGGTAACTTTGAGAAGAAAATGGTAGAATAGCTCCAATCACCTGCATGCATTATTCTGTACACTTCTTTTAGGGGGTGGAAGGGTGGGAGGGAAAGCAAAGACAATGTTGTTGAAAATAAATAGGAACTGGAATATCTATGATATATGATAGGAAGTCTTGATATGGTTCAAAATAAATTGGGGTGGGGATGTTGGCAAAACAGGAGTGGCCACGAGTTGGTAATTCTTGAAGCTAGGTGATCGGCATAACAGGGCTCATGATGCCCTTCTTTCTACTGTATATGCTTGGAATTTTTTACAATAAAAGTAAGTGGAAAAGATTTTTAAGGAGGGGTGTGTGTACTACTTGAAAATTTTTTTAACTTGGTAAGTTTCCAAGAAAAAACAGGTCAGTTAGAGTTTTATATACACAAATATATGTCAGTGAGGAGTCAAGGAAAAAAAGCATTTCACTAGAGTGTGGGCTTTTGGGCTTAAGTGGCTTATGGTTTAATAGGGGGAAGGAATAAACACATTACTTGCACTAATAAAAGAAGTGCAGTATTTGAGTTTTAAGGTGAAATGCCAGGAAGCATAAGGGCAACAAAATGTCTCTTTTCCGCTGCTTTATTTTATTAGTATTTGAGATTTTTTTTTTAATTGGAATAATGAAGGATTCTGAAAAAGAAGCTTTCAGTCCTTCAGTGGTAAGAGACTGGGTGAAGTGCCGTGTTGGGCAGCGCCAGACAGCCCAACGCAGAGCAGTCATTGAGGTTTTTCCTTGAATGGTGGCTTGGACTCATGCACGCGGGTGAGGAGGTAACGATGGGGTACAAAATCCTAAGTTGGTAGAGTTATGTTTCTAGGTGGAGGGAGGCAGAGCTATGGTTTGGATGGGCATGAGTTATTTGTAACAGGTGGTTGCAGCTTTCACAAACCTTCACAAATACCATCAGGTTTTACACATGTTTTAGGACTTTAGTCAAGATCTGCCCAGGCTTTTAAAACCTACGGGTTTCTAATGGGCGCTTTACACACAAGTCCTGCTCTTAAGGCACGTCCTCCTTAGGTGAAGTAAAACCTTTCTCTCTCTCCTTTTTTTTTTTAAACATCTCTGTAGGGGTAAACTTTCATATCCCAGGAAACTTTGAGAAATCATGAAATGTCGGGAAGTTAATACCACTATAAAAAGGAACTCAAAACCATAATTCGTAATAACTTTATTGGATTAGTTTGTATTTTAATGGACGCTTTCTATTTTTGTGTCAGAAGGTCATAACAAAGTATAAATGGCTGTTTTAAAGTGATTAGGATATAATTAAATAGTTTCTGTACAACTCTTAATACTAGTCCCTTTTGTTTTTTACTTTTTTGTGTTTTTTTTAATTTTTAATTTTTTTAAAGATTTTATTTATTTATTTGACAGAGAGAGACAAAGCGAGAGAAGGAACACAAGCAGGGGGAGTGGGAGAGGGAGAAGCAGGCTTCCCGTCGAGCAGGGAGCCGGACGCGGTGCTCAATCCCAGGACCCCAAGATCATGACCTGAGCCGAAGGCAGACGCTCAACAACTGAGCCACCCAGGCGCCCCTTTAATTTTTAATTTTAAGTTAACGCCACATTACACATGGGGCTCCAATTCACAACCCGAGATCAAGAGTTGCATGCTTTACTGGCTGAGCCAGCCAGACTCCCCCGCCACCATGCCCTGCATATTATTCCCTCTTAATCAATTCTTAGTTTTTTTATTGAACAATTACTGTGTTCAAGATACTGATCTAACTCATGTTACATACACTGAAGGATATCTACTTATTTTGGTGAAAGCATATAAAGTAGGTTTTAACTCTAGTCTGCAAAATCAGAGTCAAAAGAGAGATTTATGTTTCTAAGATTAACCAAAATGCATTTATTCAAGCCTTTGTTACAAAAAGTAATGTTAATAGCATAAATTGATTGCACTGACTTGTTGAAATTGTGACTGGTCATTGGAGAAATGGCCGAGCAAGAATTTCTTACATTTGAATGTTTTTTGTTACTTACTTAGTAGAGGGAAGTGACAAGTTACTGAGGTTTCACTTCAGCTTTTTATTCACATGCTCATTAATGCGAAGAATAAATAAACCCACTGGAAATTTTAGCTTTCCTCATAATTATTCTAATCTTTGCCGCTAACAAATGACCAAGTGACAGCACCTAGTTTTGTGGTCTCCCAGTGTCCTCTCTGACATCTTCATTGCTTTACTTTGGTGCTAATAAGAAACGGAGTAGCCCAAAATATCAAAAGCAAGAAAGCAAGCAGAGAGATTTTCTTTCTTTTTTTTTTTTTTTTAAAGATTTTTTTTTTTTTTTTGACAGAGAGAGACACAGCAAGAGAGGGAACACAAGCAGGGGGAGTGGGAGAGGGAGAAGCAGGCTTCCCACGGAGCAGGGAGTCTGATGTGGGGCTCGATTCCAGGACCCTGGGATCATGACCTGAGCCGAAGGCAGACACTTAATGACTAAGCTACCCAGGCGCCCAAGCAGAGAGATTTTCTAACCTGAGTTTCCAGGACAATGCCAGGCGTGCGATGTACATTCCACAGTATGTTGAATATGGTGATATTGGTTGCAGTGTGCGCTTTTTAGAAGCAGCAGTGGAAGAGTTATTTACCAACTCTACTGAGAACAATGCCTGACTCATAGTAGGAGTTCAGTAAGTATTTATTGAATAAACGAATGGATCCTTTTTTCCCTTTTGTTTTAACATTTGCTTTTTTAAAGTAATGGGAGGGTAATTTTAACACCTTTCTGCCCCTTGGCAGTTGTAAACATTTTTGATAACTCTAGGCACCTTTTTATTTTTAGTAGACTTTATTTTTGAGAGCCATTTTAGTTTCACAGCACAATTGAGTGGAAGGTATAGAGATTTCCCATATAT